ACATAGAGTGACGTACCTATAGTGCGAATGCAAATTCCTTACTTTTCATGTTCCGAACAAAAAGGGTCTTCTTTTCAAAGCTTGAACTCAGCTTTGACGACAAAGGAAACCACAGCAAGCGATAACAAGTGGAAACCTTAAACTGTAGTTACGGTACCAAATCATTACAATGTGCCCGGCTAGCTCAGTCGGTAGAGCATGAGACTCTTAATCTCAGGGTCGTGGGTTCGAGCCCCACGTTGGGCGCCATTATTTTTTTCTTTTGATTAGACATTTTATGCCAAGTGACTGAACCTTGTTACTGACCAACAGAGATGTAGGCCCCATCCGCACTACGTCGGACAAATTTAAAAACGGTGGTTTCATTGTGAAAACGCATCAAATGTTTCCCGTCCACACTGCGCCGGAGAAATTTAAAAACGCAACTATCACCGGTTATTTTAGATTTGTGTTTGAGGAAAACTCGATCAGGGAAATCACATTATTATCGTGACGCTATCGTTTTCAGAAAGCTCTGTTTTCAAATGTTTTCCGTCCACATGAAAACGAAAAGCCGGCGTTTTTAAATTCCTCAGTCCTGTTTGTAAAGCGTTTTCAAAAAGCTCCGTTTTCGTGACGGATTATGCGGATGGTAGGTCCGGCGCACCGTAGAGATAAATCTGCGTTTTCTCCGGCATGTCACTGACTGTGGCTGTGATAGGTAAAACATAGTCGAGCGTGATAGTTTCAGAGCACACCAAAAAAAAAAATACTTCTGCAAGCAGTACATCCCAACGGTCTGTGTTAGACACTAGCTATGAAACTGTTTCAACACATAGCTTTTCCCAAGTTATTTTTGGTGCAAAACACTCCATAGTCACTGATATAAGTTTTCATTCCTGTGCCAAACAAACCTTCCGAAGAAAGCCTTCGCACCAAATTTCGCTTAAAAAAGGACGCTCAAGTTCACCGTGGTGCTTCAAACAGATAGTTCTTGGAAACAAGTCACAAAAAAATTTCCAGCGCCCAACGTGGGGCTCGAACCCACGACCCTGAGATTAAGAGTCTCATGCTCTACCGACTGAGCTAGCCGGGCACGATAAATACAACAATCAAAATAAGCATTCATGTCATAAAAACATACGGACCAGGCAATTAAAATTTTCTGACTCTTAACCTCCACTCCTTTACTGCTTTGTCCAACAGAAAATTTTATATGCATATAAAGTA